ATGATTCTGAAAAGTGAAAATACTTAACGGCCTTTTGTTGAATTGGCTAAACAAGTATAGTGGGCTAGTTTCCTCATTCGTTTATAATGGTGAGGTCACAAATCTGATTCCCAGGTGACAGGTCACAGATACACCCCCGGAGAGCGGATTAACCCTCGCAATTCGCATGTGTGCGGCGTTTGCCAGCTGGGGCATTCCACGATAGATCGTACCACTTTTTTCCAATTTGACACCCTCATCTCTCGGATTTTAACAATAATTGGTCTAAGGGGTAATCAGGGGCTCTGAATCCTCCTGTAACAATTTCAGGCTTATCAGATGAGTGGTTTTTGAGTTATAGTGTATAACATGTTTTGGATCTTGCGTTGCAGCCCCAAGTTTGGCGGGCTGTAACTCTAAGACGGATAATCCAAATGCCAAATGCTATACGGCATTGAACTTGCATTGAAACAAAGAATAATATGCATTTTTAAAATTTTGAAATATATACTATTTTTGATTTATAACACCTTGAGTTTCCTTTCATTTGCATTTTTATTCCTTTGGGACCAAATTTTTTTGAATTTTTATTTGCTTAAAAACATTTTTGGATCATTTTTAAGTAGTATGCAAAAATTTAGGAAGGTGTTCTTACTATAAATGCACTTATTTTGCGTCACCGTAATGGTCTCGAATTGCGATTTCGGAAGAGAGCCTACAAATGGTGTGGTAAAGCTGCCTAGTGACATCACTGGTTACTGAAAGTTCAATTGAAGTCATTTTTGCCTCACTTTTGCATTGTTGACCTTGCGTGACGTCATTCGTACGTCACTAGGGTCATAAGAGTTTTTTGTCAATAACTCTCGATCAAATTGAGCTAGAGAGACGGGAAAGCTACCAATGAACTCGGGAAGACCTTGCGAATCGAATGATGTGCAATATGATCTCATTCACCCAGCTTCGTGGCCTGAACCGACTGTTAACCATCTCTGTAGCGGCGTTGTTTGTCCAGCGCCGCGCTGGTTGGCTTTGCCGCGGACTCGGGCGGTCACGTGATGCCCGGGGGCTGGCTGCCGGCTGGGCCGCCCGGTCAGGGAGCGGAGCCAAATACACGGCAGTGTGCTGACCCGAGGTCAGCGACTTAAGCTGACTTCACCAGAACAAACAGTATACCATTCGACGCGCCGGAGCTAGGTAAACACAAAGATGCTAAAATCGCGGCTCTACGACCATTTGTTGCGAAGTTATCTATCAAAAACCGGACCCGTAATTTGGGTCACTTGAAATGACCTCAGGGCTCACCAATGAACCCGAGACCTTAAAATGTGGTATCATTCGATGCATCTTGTAACGGCGCACACGCTCGTTTTTTCCGCAAGGTTCTAGCTCCATTAGAGGCGAAACGGCGAGCTGGGGTCGTACCGAACCCCCGGAAACCCATTTTGTATACATTTAAATGAAGATCTTATAGAAAGAACACCTTTCTAATTTTTTGCATGTCGATTTTAAAGGACCTGAGGTTTATTTTGAAGAAATAAAAATGGCAAACATTTTGGTCCCAAGGGCCATTATAGACAATTTCAAAAAATACTACGCATTTTTTAAATATGTAAAGCTTTTCTTTCCAATTTTAAAAATACCGTATTAATCTTTGATTCATCGTTAGTTCAAAGCTGTTTACCGTTTGTTGCTTGCTTAGCTCGTTTTTGAGTTATAGCTCATCAAACTCACCCTTACAATCTGAAGTTTAGAAAATATTATGCAATGTAACTCAAAAAGTTTTCATCTGAGAAGTCTGATATTTTGGCAGGTGTTTTTGGAGCCTATGATTACCCCTTGTACCAATTTTCATTCAAATCTGAGAGATGAGGGTGACGGGCCTGGTACGATCTATCGTGGAATGCCCCAGCTTCTAATGTGTAGGGGGGGGGGGTTGGACCCCCCTTGCCGTTTGGCCCCTGATCGAGCTAGAGCTTCGCGGAAAAAACGAGCGTGTTGCCCGTGACGAGAGGAAGCCGATGATACCCAATTTTAAGGTCCTGGGTCATCGAGTGACCTTCCAGGTCAGGTCAATGACCCAAAGTCGGGAAAATCGGGACCTTATAAAAAAACGACAATGTATTCAAATACACAATTAAAAAACAGAGCTTTCGGTAACAAATACCTTGATCACTGTGTGTATGCTAAAATGAAGGAATATTTTCAAATATTTCAAAAGGCAAATTGACTTCATCGCACGGGATACAGTTCAGGGACTACCTATTACTAGACGAACAGCACCAGACGCTAAAGGAATGAACCCACTCCTAGTATTAAATGTTTCGCGTGAGATGATATGAGCGGCTTCGATGATTTTTTTCGTTTTGTCATGTTCTTTCCTAAGATATGCGTCCCATCCCAGTCAGGCAGATGGTTACACTTTTCAATGTGAAGTACGATCGCATTCGATGTGCGATGGAACCTGACGTCATTCTTGTGCTCCTTTACCCTTACATAGAAATTTACATTTACATATTTACATATATTTACATAGATTTACCCGTACGAAAAGAAAGGGTCTGGTTTCAATGACAAAGAAAACAAAGTGTTCAACAAAGAAGCAAGAAAAATCCTGAAACGGTCCGAACGGGGAAAGAAGTTACAGCATGTCTTAGAGGAAGCACCCACCGCTCCAAAAATGAGGGGTCTTCCTAAGGTACACAAAAGTGGTACTCCTATGCGCCCAATCACATCCGGGATAGGAAGCGCTCCACACAAGCTAGCAAAAATATTGGCAAAGTAAATAATACCAATGCTTTGGGGTCTATCAGTGGAGCGCACATCAAAAACACTGCGGAAATGATGGAAACGTTAAAAGAAGTACGACAAGTTGACGACAAAAAGCTAGCAAGTTTCGATGTTCGGTCACTTTTCACAAATGTTCCGGTCGATGAAGCACTAGAAGCAATAAAAGAAGTCGTCGATGAAATGGATGAAAACGCTCTGCCGCTACCAAAAAGCGATTATCTAAAGCTGGTGTCCATGTGTATGCACTTCGGATCATTTACATTTGATGGTATCGAATACCTTCAAAAGAGTGGACTAGCGATGGGGTCACCTCTCAGTCCGGTGGCTGCCTGTCTATTTATGGAAAAGTTAGAAAAGTCAAAATATAGCAACATTATCGGAAGTGACTCGACCTGGACTGGATACGTTATGTTGATGACGTCCTCGTAGTAGTACCGAAGAACATGAAATTTGAATGAGGTCCACGAAAAGATACAATTTACTATAGAGAAGGAGGAATTACAGGGTTGTATACGACTCAACCAATAGCAATCAATTCAATCACGACAAATTTGGGAAACCAATCAAATCAATCAAGTCAGAGCAGTTTTCGGGAATTGATTCAATCGACTCAAACGCGACAATGAAAGGAATCAATCAACTCAATCAAACGACTCAAACCAAGATATACATTAGGTTTTTTGCCCCACCAACTTGGAAAAGTGTCCATAGCAGTCTGGTGTACCTACCTACCTACCTACCTACCTACAGAAGAAACAAAAATATTGTCATTTAAAATTATAAATTGCCATGCCATTCAAAGTTTCTATGTAATAAGGAAGGTGATGGACAGGTGGATCATGATATTGAGGTTCAATGGGTAGAATTGGAGCAGAAGTTTCATTTAATGGGTGCAAAATAACCCAGTAGTTGACTTCAACAAACGCCCCTTAACCCAAATCACCACCTTTCACCTAAAAGTTGTCAATTTAATTTTGGCCATATTCCAGCTAAGTCATCAGGCCATCTACCCCATGTAAAGCCCCCGTCTGTCTCTTATGTGAGTTATGCGGAGCTCTTCTGAATTGAACCCTGAACATAATGAACCTAGCTAGGCTACATGCCACACTAACACCATAGAAAGTGTTGAAAATGTGCTATAAATTTGACAACTTCATTAGGTATGCTTTATGAAGACAGCAGGAAAGCAGGTAGGTACCTACTTACCTGCCTAGATGTGTCACTGGCGTCACTGGCTACCAACAGTACCAACGAAGGTCAAGGTAGATAGGTTATATGTGAAGAATTCAAAACATTTTATTGCAATACAATTTGAAACTGTTAGGACTGGGGGATAGGGATGAGCATTAAAAATACGCCCGGTTATATATGACAAGATATAACCGGTTTTTCCGCGACACTACGAGCGTCTTCTCTGGGTCGGCCCCGGAGCCGGGCCGGCATCTGCGAGCAGCGTTCGGCGGCAGGCGGGCGGCCGCCTGCGCCCCCGGGCGGCAAGGCCGCTAAGGCGGCGGCCTCCTCTGATTGGCGGAGCGACTCGTGTCACGTGACGGTGACGGCGCGGGGTTTGAGTGCATTTGCGCGGTCACTCTGTTCTAAGCCGCCCGGTCTGACGCAAGTCAGCAGTGTTCTCGCTCTGTAATGTTTTTGCGTTTACTGCGGTCGTGTTCAGTGGAAACTGGAAGACATCAAGGGGAGTATAGGTTCAGTTTTTATATAAATGCTATATTGATTGACGAGGATGTTTTTTTTCTTTCGGGGTTTTTGTTTATTTTTTACTGGTTTGTTGTTTCTATCTGATTTTTTTTTTTCATTTTCGGCATGAGGTTTGGTTATTTTGTGCTAATGTTATGCTATCACGGTAAGAAAAGGGTCGATGAGCAATGGGTCGGCAAATGCCCGGTATTATAGGTTCTTTGAAGGTTAGATAAAACAACGAAACTTGGACTGCTGGTAGGAATAGTCTTGGTGTGTTTTTTTTTCAGATTTTGGGAGATTGAGTGTAGGTATTTGCTAGGTGAAACATAGCTGTAACTGTTTTTTTTTCTTCCCTGGAACGGAACGCCCGGACTTTGCCATTCTACACTCCGTGTGAGTGAAATCAGCTCATGCTTTCTCGGTGTAGCAGCTCAGAGTGCACGGCCTGGCCGGCGTAGGGTTTGGTGGCCACGTGGTGTTGGCCGGTGGTTGTGCAGAGAGTTGGTAGAATTGCCGTTTTGTGGTGCCTGGTGTTGGTTGAACTGTGGTTCCCATACAGGTGAACGGTTACTGGCGTAAGGTGTGCCAGGTGGGCGTACCCCGTGGAGAATGAGCTGCTGGTGATGTTGGCTCTGTCCGAGCGTGTCCGAGCGGGGTTTTCATTAGTGGGTTAGGGATTGTTGATAACAAGGGTACCAACTGCCGGGTGAGACTTGAGAGGGTAAATGGAGTTCATTGTAAGGATAACCAATGCAATGGTATTGGTCTAAGATGGCATTGTTATCTGGTGTTAGGTTGGGATGAAAGGTTTAGTGGGTGATACAGAGGTACAGAGGTGATGATACAGTGGAACCCAGTTTGGGTGTGATAAGTCTCGGCGGACTAAGATATTATGGATTAGATGGGGAATTATGTAAGGTGGTTTTGGGATGCATTAGCGATAGCCTAGTAAGTTACAGGCTATTACCCAGAGGAAGTTTTCACACCCATGTTTAAAGGCTGCAGTAGGTATGCCATTTTCTAGGATGCAGGTTTAGGATAGCCCGTGATTGTGTGGCTCTCAATCTGCATTGAGGTACGAGTTAACTGTGTTTCGTTTTTTATGGTAGTGGCGTTTGTAAATAGTTTTTTTTTTTTGTCAGAGTGAGGTGCCTTCCTTGTCGTTGGTCAATAGGGCATTGCCAAGGCATGCATAAGCGACATCTGCAATATGCATATCCTGCCGATATGTCATCACACGCATTGTCAGATAAATGGCGCCAGTATACTCGTATATAGCCCCTTTTTGATACGAGATTTCGGCTAAAAATGGTTATGTGACACAATCTATTTTTTTTTCTTCCATGGCTTGATGGTTGGCATCAGACTCTGAACGGCGACGGATCGGCACACTCGGCGGGGCCGGCCCGCTTTGCCAGAGTCTTCTTCGGCCGCTGGAGGATTCCTTCACAGCTCCCACGTCAGCTGAGGGAGTCCGACCCCTCCCAGCTCATCTTGCTCCAGTGGTGCTGCCTAGCAGGTCTTACGGGACATCGTCAGGTATAGGCCAAGGTGGCCGGGGTTTTGAAAGGTACGTTATTCCATGTACGGGGCCCGGAACATATCTGTTAATGGAGGTTCTAGGGGACCCGATAGGGTGGATAGTGAACGCTTGGGCATGGCGATATCGGCATTTTTGAGGGGATATCTGGTTCCACCAATAGGGACATGAGGGCAATGCTGGTGGAAAGTAAGATGCTAAGATAGTAATAACATTGTGATAAAATCGTTAGGCGAAGCCCGAAGAGAAAAAATGAAATCTTGTCAACTCTAACGTTAGACGTGTTTTCAACATTGGTTTGCTGCTGCTGCTGCTGCTGCTGCTGCTGAGGGTTTTTAAATCGTCTGTAACTATCTTCAAAGCGGTCTATTTCTTAGCAAATTATTTCTACTTGTCGCTATAGAATATGATATGACCTTTCTCCTGCAAAACAGCGAATGAACATCGAACATACAGGTCAGTTACTATCATTAATAGCTAAAATGAAGTAAGTCAGTATGCGTTGTTAGGACTGGGAGTTCCCCTCAGTGTCCCAAAATTGTATTTTGGCTTGGGTGTCAAAGGAAAATTCCTAGGGGCCCGGGAACGATTTTCAAGGGGGGCGAGCATATAAAATACCTGACATGATGCATATGAAACGGTGGCGTTCATCGCCACCGTATGCCATATCGAAGGGCCCCATGGGGCTCATTAGAGCACCTCATGGACCCTAAATTGCCACACTAAGATCTTTTTAAGGGCCCCACGCCGGATTCTGAGGGCCTCTTGTGCTTGTGCTTTAAGGGCCCTTCAATGGTCTCCACAGGCCCCTTACTGGCCTCTGAAAGTTCTTACCGGCCTATGAGGGCCCAGTTCTAGGGGCATTTCCCGCCTGTGATGGTCCCACAATTATTTTTTGAGAGCCCTATAACGGCAACTGTGGGGGCCCTCGTCGGCGCCTATGGGGGCCCACACCGGTGTCTCTGAAGGTTTCACACCCCCAATTCTGAGTGCCTACACTAGTGCCTATTAATGCCCTATATCGGCGACTCTGAGTGAGGACCCGAATCCCTACCCAACACCGGCGCATCTAAAGGCCACCCACTGGTGACTTCTGAGGGCCCCACACCGGTCCGGTGACTCTCAGGGCCCCACCGGCGTCTGATAGTACCATGCCGGTCTCTAAGGACCCCGCAGAACTTCTTCTGCTGGCCTAAGGGCCTCTTGCCGGTCACTGAGAACCCCCTGCCGGCTTGTAGAGGGTTCGCGTCCGCAGCTCAGGCCCCACACCCGTCTGTAACGGCTCCACACCAGCGTCTATGAGGGCCCAGAGCAACGCCTGTAAGGACCCTCACCGGCGCCTCTGAGAGAATCACACTAGCACCTCTGAGCGCCCACACCGGCACCTGCATGACATTCCCACACCAGTGCCTCTAAAGGCCCCTTACCGGCGGCTCTGAGGGCCCTACGCCGGTGATTCTGAGGATGCTAACGATATCCGAAGGCACCATACAAGCGCTTAGTGTCGCTGAGCTTTTAATCCCATACCGGCCTTCCAAGGGCACCACGTCAGTGCACTCATTGCCCCACACCCCTCCCTTACACCCGGAGCGGGTAAACTGTTATACCTATAGCAACGATTTTACCACAGTTGTACGTTAGGTATTTCTCAAGGTTGACTCAAAATGGTCCAATGTAAAAGCTGGCCTGCCAAACTTATGGCCAAGGCCAGGCCCAAACAAAAGCGGGATGACAACAGCAGATGTCAAATCGACACTGTAACAGCAGAAACCATTCAGATGGCAAGGAAAAGGCCGTGTGTTTATGTTTAGATATATAAAGGAAAAGAAGTCCGGAAAAGGGAGGGAAGATCCTTTCTCGCTGCCTCAATGTTGAGGGGGCGCCGCCCCCTCGGCTCTCAGGTTGGGGGGGGGGGCAAGCGCCCCCGCTGCCCCCCCTGTTTCCCGGGTCTATGAAAATTACTCACCAAATAAGGGAAAAGGGTGGAAAATTGATGGGTCAGATAAGGCCTAAAGAGTGGAAAAATAATGTACAGCAAAATTTAATACAAGGCTGGTATGTGGGAAGTAAAATGGCTATCGGTCCATGCAAATGCTTTTTCTTGGCAAAATTGGGAGTGGAAAATGGGCTTAAATAATGGAGGCGAGTGAAAAGTGATTTTCATTTGGATGTCGTTTCCCACCTAAATCAACAAACTTTGGAGCACTGGTACGGGGTACCCCTCGCCAGAATCAGGGTTCACGTCACTCAGGACCTGCCTATGGTTGGTTGGTGGGTGAGTTACTGTACCTTCTATGGGTGACATTGAGCCAGCTCGGCGTTTGGAGGCAGTAAACACCTCCAAAACGTGTCGAGCTAGGAAGCAACGGCAACCTTTATACCCATATTGGCCTGTTTACAGCGTAGGGGCTGTCTGTATGCCGGTCATTTGGTCCCTGATCAATCCGGAGCTTCGCGGAAAGGCAAGCTTGTTGCCCGTGGCGGGTGATGCGGATACTATCATATTTCAAAAACGGGTATTTTTGGTATTCAGGTCGGGTAATTGCCTTGAACATTCGGAGAATCTTGGGATGCCAAATTCTGCAAGTCCCGGGTGAAGCTCGCTAGTCTGCCCGGGGGTGTCCCCTTCTACAACGACCTCGGGGCAGCTCGCTAGTCTGCCCCGGGGGTATCCCCTTCTACAACGACCCCGAGGCAGCTCGCTAGTCTGCCCGGGGGTGTCCTCGCCTACAACGGCCTCGGGGCAGCTCGCTAGTCTGCCTGGGGTGCCCCTTTCTACAACGACCCCGGGGCAGCTCGCTAGTCTGCCCGGGGATGTCCCCTTCTACAACGACCCCGGGGCAGCTCGCTAGTCTGCCCGGGGTGTCTCCTTCTACAGCGGCCTCGGGGCAGCTCGCTAGTCTACCCGGGGATGTCCCATTCTACAACGGCCTCGGGGCAGCTGTCTAGTCTGCCGAGAATGTACTTTTCTACAACGGCTTCGGGGCGGCTTGCTTGTCTGCTTGGAGGTGGCTGCCGCTAGGACGCCCGGTAGCGCGGGTAACCTTACGGCGGCTTAGAGCGCTGATTCCTGGAGCGGGCCGAGAGCCCTCCCCTTTTTTGCTGGGCGGCTGTCAACGACCTTCGTTGATACTGTTCTAACCCCTTCCAAAGTTCTGGGAAAATTAATGGTCGCGCTGATAGGCATGTGGTGCATAGGGTTCAAGGTAAAGGAAAATACGGCTTCTGTTGTCAGATGCCTCAGAACTCATGGATGGTTGTTTTTTCGGCGGGTATATCGAGGGCCTTTAGTTGATGGAGGCTATCATCGCGGTAGTGGCTAATGCTACTGGTTGTTAGTCCTGCTGAAAGGGCTTCGGTATAAATGCCGTAATATTGTTCTTCAGTGGTGACCGCTGTGTCGCTCACATTCATGTTGGCAGGTTTTAGGGATCGTGGCGTTTCTGGTAAGCTTCGGGCCAGGTTGAGGAAATAATTACCTACCTTCAACCAAGTACGTATTTGAGTGGGTTCCGCCGCTGGTCTCGACACTGGCGGCGACTATAGGTCTTTTGTGTTAATTTGTATCCCCCATTCGGTCTGCTGGTCTCGGGAAGGGGGTGTTTTATTTTGGCGCATTGGTGTCTGGGTGGATGTATTGAATGGGTGGGGACACCATTGCGCCGCGCGGGGGGAGGGGTGGCGGCCCGTTGGCAGGGCAGTCTCGGTTGAGACATGTATACTTGCTAGTATGTTTGTGTCGTGTTCATTTGGGCTGAATATACCAATAGCCCCTTTTTGTACAGCTACAGTGTTTTCCTGGAGGGACTTGGTTGTGAGGTTTGCGCTGAGATTGGTAACGCATAGCATAGCTAATTGTCTCTATGTTTGCTGGCAGCTCTAAGGGGAAGCGGAAAATACGCCCGGTTATATATGACAAGATATAACCGTTTTTTCCGCGACACTACGAGCGTCTTCTCTGGGTCGGCCCCGGAGCCGGGCCGGCCTCTGCGAGCAGCGTTCGGCGGCAGGCGGGCGGCCGCCTGCGCCCCCGGGCGGCAAGGCCGCTAAGGCGGCGGCCTCCTCTGATTGGCGGAGCGACTCGTGTCACGTGACGGTGACGGCGCGGGGTTTGAGTGCATTTGCGCGGTCACTCTGTTCTAAGCCGCCCGGTCTGACGCAAGTCAGCAGTGTTCTCGCTCTGTAATGTTTTTGCGTTTCCCACCCACCCACCACTATTTTTGGGGCTTTTTTTTTACACGCACCACACTCTTAAATAAAGATGGGTTTTTTCCACAAAATGTGGTTTTTCCCCAACTAGGTCCCCCGGTTTTTTTCTAGTTAGGACTTTTTCCGGGGGAGGACACACACGACAGGGTTTCTAGTTTGGGTGGGGACACCATTGCGCCGCGCGGGGGGAGGGGTGGCGGCTCTGTTCTAAGCCGCCCGGTCTGACGCAAGTCAGCAGTGTTCTCGCTCTGTAATGTTTTTGCGTTTACTGCGGTCGTGTTCAGTGGAAACTGGAAGACATCAAGGGGAGTATAGGTTCAGTTTTTATATAAATGCTATATTGATTGACGAGGATGTTTTTTTTTCCTTTCGGGGTTTTTGTTTATTTTTTACTGGTTTGTTGTTTCTGTCTGATTTTTTTTTTCATTTTCGGCATGAGGTTTGGTTATTTTGTGCTAATGTTATGCTATCACGGTAAGAAAAGGGTCGATGAGCAATGGGTCGGCAAATGCCCGGTATTATAGGTTCTTTGAAGGTTAGATAAAACAACGAAACTTGGACTGCTGGTAGGAATAGGCTTGGTGTGTTTTTCAGATTTTGGGAGATTGAGTGTAGGTATCTGCTAGGTGAAACATAGCTGTAACTGTTTTTTTTTTCTTCCCTGGAACGGAACGCCCGGACTTTGCCATTCTACACTCCGTGTGAGTGAAATCAGCTCATGCTTTCTCGGTGTAGCAGCTCAGAGTGCACGGCCTGGCCGGCGTAGGGTTTGGTGGCCACGTGGTGTTGGCCGGTGGTTGTGCAGAGAGTTGGTAGAATTGCCGTTTTGTGGTGCCTGGTGTTGGTTGAACTGTGGTTCCCATACAGGTGAACGGTTACTGGCGTAAGGTGTGCCAGGTGGGCGTACCCCGTGGAGAATGAGCTGCTGGTGATGTTGGCTCTGTCCGAGCGTGTCCGAGCGGGGTTTTCATTAGTGGGTTAGGGATTGTTGATAACAAGGGTACCAACTGCCGGGTGAGACTTGAGAGGGTAAATGGAGTTCATTGTAAGGATAACCAATGCAATGGTATTGGTCTAAGATGGCATTGTTATCTGGTGTTAGGTTGGGATGAAAGGTTTAGTGGGTGATACAGAGGTATAGAGGTGATGATACAGTGGAACCCAGTTTGGGTGTGATAAGTCTCGGCGGACTAAGATATTATGGATTAGATGGGGAATTATGTAAGGTGGTTTTG